CTGTATATATCCATGACTGGTGTCATATGAAAGATTATAAAAAGTTATGAATTTTGATACGGAGTATATTTTTTTATAAAAAATTGATCTTTAATAAAAAAGTTATATCATTTTAAATAAATTTCGGATTTTGAGTTTTCATGGAGCCCACTTCTTTTTCTTTGGTGTGCACACCAAGTGCAGCTTTTTCTCTCTCTCCAAGAGTGGATCGAGTATCCAAATTCCCACCCCAAGGATTCTACCAACCCACTATGAGACCCTAGTATACTTGGGTTGCACACCAATTTGGGGTGAAAAACTCAAATTTGGATTTCCACCCCTATGCATTGCGGACAACCTAAGGGTTCATTTGTTCATTATTCATTAATGTTCATCTAAAGCCACAGTTAGACCGTTTGGAGCGGTGGAAAGGTCAAAATGTCAAAAATGAAATTCTTTCATATGAAAACGGTGTTTAAACTTTTATTCCCCCTACATTCCAAGATCGTCAATAAAATACATTCAGCATAATTTTTTACATATCAATTTAGTAAAACACTAATTAAACTGCGGAATATTATAAGTAATGTTTTCCTTTTAATTTCTTTCCTGAATGATTATGAAATATAAAAAACACACATTTCAATGTAAAAATAAATAAATTTCATTGATTTTTTAAACATTTTTCGGCTAACAAAAAATGAACTTAGGTCAAGTAAAATTTGATTATGGAATATTCAGTTATTTGTGAAGGCTACATGTATTAAAAAATTATGTTTCGTATTTTTTGGGCTCAAGAAAACTTCAAAAGTTCTTTTTTTTCATTTTATATACTATCGTATTACATATTGATGTCATATGAAAGAGTATAAAAATTATGGATTTTGATATATTTTTTTCTAAAAAATGGTCTATAAAAAACAAGTTATAACAATTTTAAGAAATGATAAAAAAACCAATTTTAAGAAATACTCCCTCCTTCCCAAAAAATACTTCCCACTTTCTTTTTTGGGCCGTTTCAAAAAATACTTCCCACTTTCCCTTTTTGGACAATTTGTGTGGCTCACGTTCATTTTACCTTTTTTCTTACACAACTATAATCATACATTTCCACTTTATTCCACTTTCTTAATATGCGTGTCAAGTCAAACCGGGAAATATTTTTCAGGACGGAGGTAGTATGACTGTATGAGGTTTTACTACCCAACACTATGACTCCTTTCTTTTTTGCAAAGTAGCACTCCCACGTTCCCACGAGAGTCCATCGGCCGGCTAGAAACGGACTCCTCCCTCTCCATTTTTTAGCCTCCTATATGCTCTGCAAGGTAACAAATTAGATCAAATCAGATCAGATCAAACAAAAAAAAACAGATCGGACTTAAATAGATTAAACCAAATCAAATCAAAATTCGATAGTTAAAAAAGGGAAATTACCCTAAATAGGACTAAAAACGGTTCTATATTCTAAAATAGGACTATCATGTTTTTATTCCCAAAAGGACTAATTACTGCCATGTTTTGGCAATACCAGACTATAAACATGACAATATATTTCAAACATGACAGTAATTACTCATATTTTGGAAATATAAACATGACAGTTATATTTTGGAATTTTCAAACTTTTTTACGCTTATTTCAAAAAAAAACTTATAAAATACATAAAGACCAAATTAGAACACTTCCAACCATACAAGAAAAATGAAATTCAATTTGAAACATTTTAAACTCCAGCTAGGAGTATGGAGCATTAATATGAGTCCTTCTTGTTGTACTCACTTTTGTACACATATTTGTACACACCCCTTATTTTGTGTACACAGACAAACACAGACAAAATGATGTCATTTTCTTAAAGAATTGTCTGTGTGCACAAGCAAAATAGGAGAGTGAGTACAAAAGTGGATACAAAGATTTGTAGAAATAGATTTTTTGCATTAATATTGGAGGGTCCTATTACCGAGTATAAATAATCGATCCATTAATACTCTAACTTCCATATATTCATGATTCATAGCTGTAGTGTTATTCATAGATGTAGAGTGTTGTAGGATCGCGACAGTTTATAAGTATGCGGCGTACAATTTGTTTTTTCAATGTTTGAAATGTGAATTAGGGCTGGGTCCGAAAAACCGAAAACCGAATCAAATTAAACCAAACCGTGACTAAATAAACCGAACCGTTAAAAACCGAAACCGAATGTAAAAAACCGAACCGAACCGTAGTAATTTGGTTCGATTTTGGTTTTTACCCTTCAAAACCGAACCGAACCGAACAAACCGAACATAAATAAAATATGAAAATTTATTTGTTAAATGTAAGCATTAATCTTAATGTCATCAATAATCTTTGAATTTCTTGTGCTAGAGATATAATGTTTATGCTATGTTTAGTTTAGTTTATAAATGCATTTACACATTCATTGCCCATAATAATGTAGCTATATTGATCTATTATGCCTTTTATGTATGTATGTTGCAATTTATTGCATGATTATATGTTTTTACTAGTTATTAGTAGTAATTAACTTTTATTTTTATGTAACTTAATTCTTTTTTGTAACTTAACTTTTTATATTGATAAAACAAATAAATATATATTCATCTCGGCTAAATCAGTATATATTCATTAACGTTTTTCAAACTAGTTACAAACATTGTAAATTAAGAATAGATACACACTTTTATCTCTCCCGCATACTCATATAATTCAAGACATATTTGTTTGTTATTATTTTCTTCATTTGTTCAAGTATGCTTGCATTTTTATGTAATATGTTTGATCCCTCCAACTTTTATATCAATTTTAAATTAAATGACAAATACTTAGTAAAAAATCGAAAAAATCGAAACCGAACCAAAACAAACCGAACCAATCAAACCGTGGTTTGAAGTTTTGGAGTGTAAAACCGAACCGAAACTGAACCGAACTTTTACTTTGGTTCCGTATTTGGTTTTAGGTCAAAACTGAATCGAAAGAACTGAACCCACCCCTAATGTGAATTACGGAGTATATCCTGTTTGACACATACCTCCATTGCATATTTGCATCACTCCGGTCTAAAATCTAAATGATCAGATAAAGGGCCTAGATTCTTACATTAACCGCAATCCAGTTTGTCAATAAATCTAATTCCTCATCATTTTATATGTATTCATCCAATCAATTCAGTTTTTCTCTACAACCTAGCACCGTCAATATATTCTCTCAACACAAATATTTTTTTTTAACTAAATGCGTAAATCTTTACATTTTTCATTTTACATCGTTTATGTGACAATTTTATTTTTACCGATTTAAAAACTCAAACATTTCGATGTAAAAATAAATAAATTTCGAGTTTAATTTTTTTTTTGTTATTTCAGACCTATATTTTAGAAACATAATAAAAAGATGTAAAAAAAATTATGCACAAGATATTGTTTTTAACATTTGGATCTACTTAAGTATATTTTGAGCCTAAAGATCTCCATCAGATAAAACTATCATATTCTTTTTTACTTTATATGTGTGATATTGTGTCATATGAAAGATCATAAAAAATTATGAATTTTGATATATTATTTATAAAAAATTGATCATTAATAAAAAAGTTATACCATTTTTAAAAAATGGGATTTCTAGCTTCCGTGGAGCCCACTTTTTTTTCCTTTGTTGCGTACACCGAAGGAACTCTTTTTCTCTCTCCAAGAGTCCATCTAGCATCTATATCCCCAACCCACTACAAGACTCTCTTATACTAATTTTGATTAGGCCTGGGACTTGGAACCGGAAAACCGGGAAAACCGACCCGAACCGAACCGAAATCACCGGTTCGGTTCGGTTCCTGACAATAGAGAATTAAGGTTTTTCGGTTCGGTTCTTAGAATACTACAAACGGTTCGGTTCCGGTTTAAGAAAATAATATATACTAGGAACCGAAGATAATATATACTTGCATAAAATTTAGGGTGATGGGCTGGCCCAGAGTAATAAATTAGGTCTGTAAACCTTTAAAGTTTACGCTCTAACGTAGTAACTTACACGACCTCGCTCTAAAGTTTTCTAGTCTGAACTCTGAACTGCTGCTTCTGAAGCCCTTCTAACATGTTCATCTCTTGAAGCCCTTTCGAATCCTTTGATTTTTGGACTATTAAGGCACTGCTCATACTCCCTCTACAAGATATTTAGGTTTCCTCTAACTCCTACTTTATTTTTTAGTTGTAAATATTTATTGATAGATAATTGGGGATACTTTATATAGTCATGGATCATATGATTTTAAGTTAATAAACAAATACATCCCTCAACTATTAGTCAAGAAACAAAAATATTCTTTAGTTAATGTTTACAACCTTCATTCATTCTTTTACTTCCTAATAGGTAGGAATAGACCGTATATATATTGCCATTGGTGATGAATTTGATGACTCCCATTATGCTTCTCAGGCCTTGGGTCAGTTGGGTGAGGAGTTTTATTTCAGTTGAAAGTTGAACTAATAAAGTATAAGTTGCACACCAGTTGTTCGATGAAAAGTCTAAAACAGAAAAATGATGGATTTTCTAATCTTTTACTTCTCTATTCATGTAGAATATAGCTCTAACACAGGAGCCCTTACTAGACCAATGACCTCAATCTCCTTTCTTTGTCATACGTAATTTAAGGGATTTATTCCTTTCTCATATGCATGTTGGAGACTTAGAAAACAGAAAGCTAGTATTTGAATTTAAAATTAAAATCAATGTTCACAGATTTATTAAATCAGTTTATCAACTCTAAATTTTTGCAACTTTGTACATTGTTAACTTCATAAGTTCTTCACATGATTTCTTTTAAGTCACTAAACTTGGTATTTTATAAACTCAATCAGTTTTTCTATGTTCATTAAGAATGACTTGGGCACACTAACAAGGAATATTTATACTTTCTATGTGATGCAGGCTAACATGGAATCAACTATAGATGTTGATAACATCCATGCTACTGGAAGTGAAAATGGTAGTGTTGAAGTTGAAGAATCAATTGAGAAAGACTATAAAGTGCAGCCTACTAAAAAGGCAAAGTCTACTCCAGTGAGAAGGAAGAGAAAAAGCAACACTACTGTGGCAACAGAGCGATCTAAAATCTGGCAGCACTTTATCAAGGTAGATCACCCTATCATTGAGACCATCAATGGAATAGAAACCGTTGTTGGAAATACAAAGAGAGCACAATGTAAGTATTGCCCTACTCACCTTGCTTGTCATTCTACTAACAATGGAACTAGTAGTCTTAGGAAGCATATTGAGCAAGTTTGCAATGAATATTCTGGTAGGACAGATTTAAGTAAAGGTCAAACTCATTTGAATTTTGATGGATCCGATGAAGTTGTTCTGAAATGGAGTCAAGAAAATTGTGTCATTGCTGCAACTGAGATGATTGTCATCGATGAACTCTCTTTTAGTTTCATTGAAAAGCCTGGATTTAGAAGGTTTTGCAAAGTAGCAATCCCTAAATTCATTATTCCCTGTAGGAAAACCATAGTGAAAACTTTTTTAGGGATGTATGATAAAAAAAAGGCAGAATTAAAGAAGGAGCTTAGTAACCATTGTGTATGTTTGACAACTGATACGTGGACTTCAGTTCAAAACATAAACTACATGGTTATTACAGCTCATTTCATAGACAATGGATGGCGAATGCACAAGAGAGTTCTTAATTTCTGTCTTATTCCAAACCATCAAGGACAGACAATAGGTAAAATTCTTGAGTGTTGTTTACTACAATGGGGAATCAAAAGGGTTTTGACTATTAGCGTAGACAATGCTTCTGCCAACAAGGCAGCGATTGATTATATTCGGAAGAAACTGTCCAATATTGACCCACATCAATTGTTTGGAGGGAGATTTCTTCATGTGAGGTGCTTGGCTCACATCATCAATCTTATTGTTAAGTCTGGTTTGCATATACTTGACAAGTCAGTATCTAGCATTAGAAATGGAGTTAGGTTCGTTAGAAGCTCACCGGCTAGGCTTGATTTTTTTAAGGTTTGTGTCCAAAATGAAAATTTGAACGTCAATAAAGTGTGTGTTCTAGATGTTCCAACAAGGTGGAATTCTACATACATTATGCTAGATACTGCACTGCAACTTAGAAGAGGATTTGATAGGATGGCTGAAGAGGAGGATGAGAGGTGGAAGAGTTACTTTGATGAGAATGAGGAAGTAGACGAGGAAGATGAAGGAAATGTTGTTGCACCACAACGGCGAAGAGTTGGACCACCAACTGAAGTAGATTGGGACAAGTCTGTTGTGTTTGTAAATTTTCTGAAAATTTTCTTTGATGTTACAGTGAGTGTGAGTGCAACAAACCGCCCCACTTCACCCAAAGCTTTTCATCATCTGATCACAATTGAGTCTGAAATTGAGGACTTGTTTACGCGTCAACATTCATCACAAGGAGATGGAAGTGAAGTTGAAAGTGAATCTGAAAACTTGTTATCACAAATGGCTGTCAAAATGAGAAGCAAGTATAAAAAATATTTTGGATCAGTAGATGATTGCAATCAGTTATTGTTGGTAGCTTTAGTCTTGGATCCAAGATATAAGCTGTTAAACTTTCAAAGAATATGCGAAAAGATGCTGAAGTTAGGTGATAAAATGGTGAAAAAAAAAGTTGAAGAAGTCAAGGACTTACTTACCAGTTTAGTTGATGCATACGCTTCAGCATGTGGTACTCAAAAAGGCAGCAAAGTGCAAGAACAAACTCCTGATAATCATTGTAGCAGCTATCATTCGAGTGGTGTAAGTGGAAAAATGGCTGAACTTCTTGAGGATTGGGATAGAGAATTGGAAAAGGGTGATACAATTATTGTAGGTAGTGAAGTAGATAGGTATCTACTTGATCCCATAGAAAAGCCTCCTAAAGGGACTCACTTTGAGATATTGACTTGGTGGAAGATTAACGAAAGCAAGTACCCTAATCTGCAATTAGTGGCTAAGGATGTGTTAGCAATTCAAGTCTCCACAGTCGCATCTGAATCTTCCTTCAGTACTGGAAAGAGGGTGATTGATCCACACCGGAGTTCATTAACTCCCAGAACTGTGGAGGCTTTAATTTGCCTCCAAAATTGGCTAAAATCCGATAGTATTCAAGGCTTGGAGTACACTCCGACACCCGAGGAAATGTTGTGGCTTGAAATGGTAGAGAAAGGTATGTTTGAGTAACTGACTTTGTGATACACACACTTTACTTTGTTATTTATTATTCTGAACTCTAAATCGTATTTATTTCTGCCCTTAATACTAAATTGTTATATAAATCTTTATCATTGCAGAACATGAAAATGATGAAAAAGAAAAAAGAGAGAAGAGTGCTGCAGAAAAGGCAGCAAAGCCCCCCAAAGCCTCAAAATTGCAGAAAACATGATGGAGGAAAAGCAACACCATATTTATCAAGTACTTTTGTAGGTTAGTTGGTTTCCTGCATATTACTTTCTATTGTAAAATAGTGTAATACTTACACTAAATTGAAGATGAGGCTCTTGAAATTTGAATTTGTTGAAAATAAAGTTGAACTAAACTTTGGTTAACATAAAGAAAAACAGTAAAGTTGAGCTAATATCAATTGTTCACATATCAGAGTTTCTAAGGCATTTTGCATAGAAAAAGCTGAAACAATAATAAAATACTTGTAATGTAGTTATTTACTTTAAAACTGATTTAGTGTTTTTATTTGCAGGTTTGGCGTTGGACGTGTTACACTACATTTGCATTTTTGCAACTGAAACGTCTTGGAAACCTAAAGCTTTTTGCTAACTACATGTTTCACTTGTGAACTGAATTATGAACTCAACTTAATTAATGTCTTATGTGTTCTGTTTACTAATGTTTGAGATTACTAATGTTTTGTCTTATGTGTATGTTTTGCAATGTATGAATCTGGATGTTTTTGTGAGCCTTGTAAAAATCGTAAATTCAAATACTTTTGTTTATATAGCAGAACTTAAAAAGTTAATTTTCAAGGTATAGAAAGAAAAAAATAGGAACCGAAAAAAGCCCAGAACCGAACCGTTTACACATCATTCGGTTCTCAAACGGTTCTTAATTTTTTTTATTGGAACCGAACCGAATTTAAGAGTTACGTTATTATAAACGGTTCCATCAATTTTTAAGCGGAACCGAACCGATCCCAGGCCTAATTTTGATTTGGGTTGCAGCTCAATTTGGGGTCAAAAACCTCAAATTTGGGTTTCCACTCTTAGCATAAATGTTCTTACCTCAATTGGGACTTGAACTTCTCATTGAAGTCTTAAAGATAACATCATTATTTAAACAATAATTAAGTTGTAAGAATTTCACTTCTCTAATTCAAATCACTCTTCAATTTAGACAAAGCACCACCAATAAACTGAATAAGTGACAATTACATTCAGACTATACCAAAACATAAAGGAGTAAAAACTTGATTACAAAAAAAAGATGGTTCCCCACGGAATTGGGTTACATTTTTTGAAATGGTGCATATCATAATGTTATTTCTAAACAATAAAATCATAAACAGTTATAATATGAGATTAATTGAATATATGGAGATAGAAACAAACCATATTGAAAGTGCGCTACCTATGAACGTGAAAGAATAAGTTTTTAAATGTAAATCTATGCAAAACATATCGACACTCTTTTAATACACTATTCTTCATTCTATTTGAAGTACAAAATTACTAAGAACATCATTACAATCAAGATTAGCTCACATCTTTGGATAATATACATAAGACATTCGTTCAAAACATATAATCTAGTTATATGGGCAGTCAGCTGAGTGGATGACCGAACCAAGACACCAGCCAGTCCAACCAAGTTTAGTATTTGAAAATAGGACATCTTTAAAATAGTGAGCATACTGAAGATTCATACAAAAATGTTTTAGTTTTGAATAATGGAGAAAATAATCACTCTATCCCCTGAAATTGTGTCATGCTCAAGTTTTCGAAACACAGCTTCTTTAAACTATTCTCCCTTCTCACTACCCTTCTTACTACAGAGCTTCTTCTCCTATACATGTATTACATCACAGCAGATTATCCACGACAGTATTACTAAATGTATCCAGGTTCCACGGATCGGGCTACTAAATGTACCATTGTATCCGGATTCCATAGTTAATTGTGTGGAACTGTGGATATAAATTGGACTTTAATTACATAGACGATTGTGTGAATATAAATTGGACTTTAATCACATACTCATCGCAGTTGTCAATATTCAAACCCGAGACACACCCCCTGTGGTACTCCCTATCTACTAGGTGAGCTACGCTCCTTGGTAAACCTAAACTTCTACCACACCGTTATCTCACTGTTTTGCAAAATCAATTTTGTTCACCCCTCAAACGAGGTTGATTATCAATCCACCCTAAATGTCTATTGTTTTTCAAAATCAAATTTTTATTTCTTACGATCTCTCATATGATACAAATGCTGCACATGAAAATTTAACAAAAATGCAACTAAAATTGATATTCTGAAAAAGGGTTTTTCAATATTTTCTATATATAATATCGATACTATGGAAAGATCATAAATAATTGGGAAAAATAATTCAAATATCTCCAATTTTGAAGGGGTGTGAGGTAAATATCCCAAACCTGCATGAACACCTCAAACATTACATAAAAAGTTATTTTAGCACCATGGTCATACACTCATACATTAATTTAAAATTTATGGTCACATAATTTATGGTTAAAATTATATGCTCGTGGCGCTAACATAACTCTTTATATAAAGTTTGGGATAATGAAATTACACATGCAAGTTTGAGTGTTTACCTCACACCCCTTTAAAGTTTTGGGCAATTTAATTATTTTTCCCTAAATAATTATGAAATCTGATATATATATGTGTGTGTATGTGTCTGCGTGTGTTTGTGTGTTTGTGTGTGTGTATGAGAAGAGTTCAAATAAAAAGACTTCTTCCTGTGCAAAGTGCGAAGATATGCATTTTTTCACGTTTCGCTTGCACTTTTCATGTTTCGGATGCACTTTTTAGGGTGGCAAAAAATTGGTTTATTTACGAAATTGCCATCACGATTTTGGTTGAGTTTAGTGCATTTTTGGCTCATTTTGAGTCATTAGATGTTGAAATGAATGCACAAGATTCATTTTCACTTTGCATGGGAAGAGCTCTTTGTATTTGAACCATCCTATAGAGAGAGAGAGAGAGAGAGAGAGAGAGAGAGAGAAAGAAAGCAGATCAGGTGAGAAGTGCCCTTAGGTTGAGAACTGAGAAGTTTAACTTATAAACTAAAAACACGAACCTTTAACTAATAAATCATAACTTATAGACCTCCTCGAAAATAATTACGAAAATGCCACCGCAAAAAATAACTCGAGAAACCTTCAATTTTTTTTATGAGTTATGATGAAAAGAGGATGTTTTTCCTGATATATGACTAGATGAGTTTTATCTCTGTTCTATTACTCGCACATGACTATTTCCATGCACGTGATTTTTAGTTTCTTTTAATTCCAATTCTGCCCTCCTATTTGATTAATGAGCAACTGTTTTTCATCCTAAAATAAAGGGCCAAGCAATTCACGTACTACACATCTATGCTATTGACAGACTACATGAGCACGACAGATAACCATTTAGACTCATAATTGCCGGATTAATTGATGGAAGCTCCTCAAAATAAGGAAGTAATGAATACAAGGCAATTCTTTCCAATAATTAATTCATATCATGCGTAGAACACTCCCTTCTTCACCAAATCAGTGAAATCACCAGTACATTAATTTATTAGGTTACATCACTACATGTCATATGTGCATGACAAAATACAGTAAATCATTAATATCTTTAAAACAAAACAAATAATCATTCAGTCCATAACAAATGTACCATATTAACCGGTGGGCGTAGCTCAACTGGTAACGAGGGAGTGTCACAAGGATTAGTTCCCGGGTTCAAATCCCGGCAACTGCGATGAGAGGTTACTATGCTAAAAAAATGCATAGGGCTTCTGCAAGTATCGGAGAAAAGAGCCACACTCTCTATCTGTCAGATTGGAATTATAGTCCAATTTACATCCTCCCAACGTACCGTCCGGTCGGGGTTGGGGGCCCTTAGGGATGAGGTGTCTTCCTTTTTTTTACAAATGTACCGTATTAGAGTACATATACCCACTGCCCTCCCACTTTTTTAAAAAACTTCAAATGCCAAACCATACGTTATTTCCCATACATGTCATACTCATTTACTGCCAGTGTAATTCTATTATGTACCTTTAGTTAACTTAATGCCTATGTAATGTTTATAATTCTTTATAATTGTAGTGTTTGTAATTAACTTAAATTACTGCCTTTGTATTTGCCAAAAAAACTTACTGACGTTGTATTTCATATACTGCCCTTAATCAGCTTAATGCCCCCTTTTTTCGTTCTACAGGAAGAGAACCCCTATTTGAATTACTGCCTATCTACTCCTCTTACTACCCAATTAAAGATGTTTTTACTTGGACTGTAATTTGCTGCTCTGGTCTGGTCTGGTCTGGTCTGTTTTGGTCTGGTCTGTTTTGGACTGGTCTGGTCTGATTTGCTCTGGTCTGATCTGGTCTGGTCTGGTCTGAATTTTTTTTTTATATTTTTTGCATAAAGATTTTATTTTTTATATATACTAGATTTTCACCCGCGCGATGCGCGGTACATAAATAAAATAA